CAACCACCAAAAAAACCTCTGTCATGTGTACGGCTTTCTTTCGCCAATATCTCGCCTGAAACAAAATTACTCTCGTTTTTTTCCCCAAAGAAACCGTATTCACAGGGCTTAAGATTCATAGTCACGAAGCTACTTCTCCAAGAACTCTTTTAAGACACGAGATTCATTAACAGGCAGAATGCCAGTATGTTTTTATAAACAGAGTGGAAGACTTTCCTTGGTTTTATCCGCGAAGTCGCCAACACAGTTATAAATAATTTACAGAGTACGTTAGTCTAGAAGGTAACATCCTCCTGTCTTGTTTGGTTGATTACCGAAACATTTTTGAGCGTTTATATTATTTAAACAGGAAGATAATATTCTAGTAAATGTCATGAAACATTTTTATTTTAAATTTCTTAAACACAGCCATTTCACATTTAAAAGTGCGTGGATGATGTGGAAAATGAAAATGTTTGGTTTTTCATGATGTAACTGTTAAGGTGCCACACAGTTGTATTGATAGGGAAGGGGAAAGTATGGGGCGATACTGTGAAACAGGGGAAATGGGTAGGCAGAAATGAGATAGAGAAAGACAAGTAGTAAGAGCAAAACAATACAGGGATAAAAGGCTAGGGCAGACAGATAGACAGACAGACAGACAGACAGACAGACACACAGACAGACACACAGACAGACACACAGACAGACAGACAGAGATGTTGCCGAAATGGATCATATTGGATCATATGGGTGGAATCTCCTGGAGTGAGAGAAAAAGAAGGGAGAGCGAGTGAAAAAGAGCAAAAGAGATAGACAATGAGGGGTGTTAGAAGAAGAGACAAAAAAGGGGAGGGGGGGGGCAAAGAAAAAAAGGAGAGCGAAAGTGAGTGAGAGATACAGCAAGAAAAACAGAAAGAGAGAGAAGAGAGAGGGGGGGGGGATAGAGATAGAGAAAGGGGGGGGGGGGACGGAGATTTAGAGAAATTGAAAAGACCAAGAAGACAATTTATCTTTAACCTCCGAAAAAAAACCCAACAGATTCCTAATAATGATAACATCTCATCTTTTGGGTAAATATGAACTCATTACGTGCCGAAACGGAAACCATTCCTTTAAACTACTACCACAAAAAAGAAACATTCTCAAGACACTAATTTTTCTAAAACAGAAGAAAGATGTTCACCTTTGAGCAGTTATAGTTCCCCATAGGGTTTTTTTGCATCAACATTTCTAAAACACATTTCGCCTTCCGCATGCATCTAGAATGTTCTAGAATACCCAATAGAATCTTTATAAAACGTTGGCCTGGTTCCCAAGCCGGCTCTTGTCTTTGCCCTTTAGCATTTGGCGTCTTCCCGGAGAGATGTTATTTCCAAGAGTCTGATCAGCACATTCGGGAGCTTACCTCAAAGCGCCTGACTTCACGAATTGTCGGCAGAAATTTTTCCTTTAAGTGGTGCGTAGGCGATATGCGACGCTAAGCATATCATTATCAATACTATCATGTACCCCATTTTGCAACTTTACCTCAATTCAAATCTTTAACTTCCAGTTGTACAAAGAAAGCAAATGTTTGAAATCTCCGTATGAGGAAACATTGGTTCAGTAAACAGAAATACATTGACTTGTAGACAATTATTTCTTGTAGTGATACGGCAATATAAACACAAGACAAACAAAAACAAGAGGCGGAACGGACAAACATAAGATCTACCAAGCGCCGGTATGATGACTTGTGTAGATTTATCTTTCTATTAGTGGGTGATAGGGTATTGGAAAGAGAAGCTCTTGCAGTACGCACCGTGTGGTTATCACCATAGAGATAATAATAATATGGTGGAAGAGAGAATTGAAAAAAAATTATTATCATTGTTAAAAAACACCTTAAATATCTCCCAGAAGGCAACCTGAACTATTTAATTGGAAACGATAAACTTAAACAGTGTGGTATACGTAATAATATCCTCTTCATTCTCACTTTAACATCAACCTACAGAAATAGTGCAGATCACGAGCTTAGATCCGCGTTATGTATTGTTTACACAATGTGTTTATTCTGCCTCTGTCTCTTCTTTCTGCAAGATTTATGGGCACTATCAATTTTATCCTATCGCCAGACTTGGGTGTATACTGTATACTGTCAAGCCAAACAAGCTTGTGCACAGATAGCAGACAGTAACTTGTGTGCAAATATGATTAAAAGCTAGTCTCTTTAAATTACACCTCGTTATACTGCGCAGTATAAAATCGACTGCAAAAATTCACTACAATTTTCATGCACAAATATCAGAAATAATTTGACTTCAAACCATGTAGATCAATCCTATGTCAAACCATACCGAGTATTAGACAATCTATATAGCCTCTATAGAGCTAGGTAGAGAATATCAAGGGAGAGTAACATCTTTTTGAAGAACAATGCGCATACAAGCTAAAAACAACGTAAACAATGCTTCACTGAATGAAGTTATTTCGGGTGAAAACACCAAACCATTCCAAAAATGTTCGACATATCCGTCGGTCTGTGTTTAAGATTGGATATCGTGTGTATAAACAATTTAAACAAAAATTCAGAACATACGGGGATAGAATAACAGCATTACTTATAACAAAGCATACCTGTCATTTCTTTCCCAGGGAGAACAGAAGCACAAAAGCGCAGTATTCATAAACATCCATTCCCTCTATACTATACGCCTCGGGGGTAAATGGCGTTACAATATGACCTAGAAAAGGACAATGCAAAGTCTTCAGCTGTCTTCTGGGACTGGTAACAGACACTAGACATTCCGCAATAACCAGGCAAGGGATCGGGTTGGTTTAAAAAAAAATAAAGCAGTATCACTGTGTTTACACGCGGTACGCGTATAAAGATATGACACAATTTGCAGAACTAATAGAAGAGACTGGGGGTATAATTATATCTAAGATGATGAGACAGTTTTAGGCTTTGTTCTCTGTGTGAGTGTGCGTGTGTGTGTGTGTGTGGGGGG